CATAAATAGACGTCCAGCTCGCGCGATAGTGACAGTAAACAACATTTTGTTGTTTGCACGCTTGTTAGACAGAAGTCTACATTTTTACGACTTTTTACGCATTTATAATGGAGCATGAGCAGTCTCGTCGCCTAGAGAAACGGCGGAGGAAACGCTGCGTAATATTAATTGTCATCGTTGTCCTTATTGTTATTGTAATCATCGCCGTGGTGTTGGGATTGACTCTCCGTCAGAACAAAAGTGAATTTAAATCTACATTTTTGTCTAGGTGTGAGAAGTTCGATCAGTAAGTGGTGCTATTTCAACACTTTTTTATTTGTTGTTTTTGTATTTTCAGATGCACGCACATATGATATAAGACACACGATCAATGAATGTGTACATGTGCACTTGCATGTTTCCATGTTTGATGCAGGACTGATTGCATTTGTGAAGTTGCAAGGCTGAGATGCTTAAAAACAGGCGTTAGGTCTGAGGTCTGGTATTGATCAGTATTATAGTCAATGATTGATCTGTTAACGTTCTGTATCATGGCAGCTGGTTTGCACATTGTTAATATCTAATAATAATGTAAACCAATGCACATTATCATTATGTCTACGTGTACAGCACGTAGACATAATGATAATGTGCATTGAGTAAATGGAGATATGAACTGCATTATGTCTGTCGGGTGTTTTTGTGTGTTTCCTTTTTTGGTATTTGAATTTTGCAAGAAACAAGAAAAAGTTACAAAACATGATATCACCAAGTGCATATTCAGCATCCACAGTCTAACCTAATGGCAATTTCCCTGCCATGAACTTCTTTCAATAATATCTTTAATCATCTGGTTTTGTTGACACCAGTTTTTATTTTTTTGTTATTTTTTTTATTAAATATATAAGAGTTATGTAAATGTGTTTGACTGTTTAGCATACTTAGCATTTCTTTAAATGAAAAATACACCTAAACATTAGCAAATTTTATTTATTTTTCAGAACTGACTGTCAAAAGGTATGGGATGCATTTGAGCAGGCCTATGTGAACAAGGATCCATGTAAAGTTGCAGTGGAAGCTTATGATCCCCTCATTGTTGCAGCCCCCTTCAAGCCTCAGTGCAACAGAGTAATAATCAGTGATTACACCATCTCAATCATCCCATCTGCCATAATCATTCATAGTCTGTAAAACAATACACTAATATGTGTGTTTGTGGGTCAGATGATATTCTGGAGCAAAACAAAGGATGTGGTCCACGGTTTCACTGAGAAGAGAGATTGTTTTGTGACTTTGGAGGACACTCTGTTGGGATCTGTCCTGGATGGTCTGACGTGGTGTGGGAAAGAAGGCAGCAAGGGTAACACTCCCAAAGCAGTCGATAAGAATCAAAGTTGATCATTTGAACAGTGCAACAAACTACACACCAGCGAAAGAGCAACAACAGTAGTTTATATAAGTCATGTTAAAATCTAAAAATATATGTAATTTGTCGTGCAAGACAGGATTTGTTATTTGTGCGGCCTGTTGTTACATTTACATACCAACAGCAGGTCAGGTCATGTCAAGGTTTTTGAGCCCTGAAATTTAAAGAGAATTTCTTAAACTTGTCACTTGAAGAATACTCACACACAGATCAGATACACCTTTAACTGTGGTGTCCATGCCCTCACTTGTTCTGAGAAGATCGCAGCTTTCACACACCTGCTATTACTTGAGAATGTTCAAGAAACCTTGTGAAGTTAAACACAATCAGGCTACAGAAAACAGAAACATAGAAGTCTA